GTATATAGTCCCGTTTTGACTGCTGCTTGTACCTTGGTAATCACATTCACAGCTTAGGAGGCAGATTTTTTCTATCTTTGTTGTATCGACTGATTCATTTGAAGCAGATTAATATTGAAACTAAAATCTTTAAAGGCCCTGGAAGTTTATTAACTTTCTCTGTTTAAGAAGATGTCATTTAAATTTACACTTTTAAATGATTCATCATGCAGCTTACACTAGGTAACAACTGGCTTATCTGCTTGGGAGTAATGATAATGAGCTTCTAAGTACTACAGGCAAGAATGACTCTTTTTAATTTGTTGGTATTTAATTGCATTCCCTACAGCTCCTGAAAACAGGAGAATCGGAATGCATCATTAATGCTACAGAGCACCGGTGCAGAGGGACCTGCTGGCAGGTATTTTCTTTCGCAGATCAGGTGCCCCGTAAGTAAGACCTACATGCAGGAGGATTGTTAGTGCTGCAGAGAGCAAGCTCCTGACAGAAAGCAGCAGGCAGCGTTCCTGCTGCTGATCTGGCATGTGAGGACTCGCAGGAGGATTGCATTAACAAGGTGACTGCCACATGCAATATTTATGAACTTTGTACCTTTGGCTGCCAAGGTACAGCAGTCATTTCCGCCAGGCTGGGTGCTCTCGAAGTGTGTTTGAGTTTGCAGCTCCTTGCGACTTGATGCTGCACGCTCTGAACCACACGCTTGGTATTAGGAACACCTAGAAATCTTTGCACCCTTGAGTGCTGTAATGCATATTTTGAAGGGCAGTCAGCCTGCTTCTTACCAACGAGGCTGTTGTCTGCTTGAAAAATCAGCCGTGTGGGGTTTCTCTTTGAGGCAGTGTCTCAGCCAAACATTTGGAGCTTTCACCTATAACTTGACTACTTTGGTACGGTGTTGTAATGTCTTTCTAGCTGAGCATCTATTTGCATGTTAAGCAGTCTGTGATGGCTGGTAACTGCAGGATGCTTACTTCATCAAGCTGGATCCTATTAACGATCCCACTTAATCAGGCATTCAGACACCTCTGCAGAGTGAGCTGCGCAGCGTGGTGCTGGCTGCGATGCTGGGAGAGCACTGCTTTGGCAGATTTTGCTAGAGCACTTAGCTTTGGATTTAGGAGAACCTGTAAAAATGTGAGTGCAAGACTTGACCCAAGCTTATTTTTAGCGCTTCCTTTCAGCTGCTGAACGTTTTCCTGTGCAGTCAGCCAACTGTGGCAGAGCCCTAGTGCAAACCTTGTATAAGGAAGGAGGAGAGTGGGGCTGGCCAAGCTCTTTGTTTGCAAACAGAGGCTACAGGTGATGAAGACAAAGTGTGTTTGGTGTTTAACCTGACAGGGCAGCTTTTTTTAAGAACTTGATTTAAACTTCATGGGCAGAAATAATAAAATATGACTTGTTCCCTCATTTGGGGAATGGAAATGAATTTTTGTATTGCAGTTGGTCTAACTATGGTAACACAAACCATCTTTGTAAATAACATGCATTTTTAATCAGAGTTCAGGGGGCAGTATGCAGGCCAACGTTGCTATCCCAGGGCAGTCCCAATTTTTCCTGCAGCTCCCTGACGTAGATCCTTTTCTTCTTGTGTCTCTGTATCTGTCTCCTCCTCTCCATAACAATAGATATTTGAAGTCTTTAGATAATTCTTATATGCTCTTTTCCTCCTACTTTAATATTTATTTAACGATCCTCTTATGTCCTTGCAGTAGTACAGTGTAGCTTCTTACAGCTCTTTTCCTTTTCTCCCTCCCCAGCTCCTCACTAATACATAGATTGAGCTGCACCACGAGCCATGCATCCTCTGCTGTCCAGTTGTGTTTTAGATGCAGGGTTAGGGGAAATGATTTAGAAAGGCCACGTAGCAAAGATAGAGCAGCTGGCAACAGTGATGGTAAGGACTGTGAACCTAAAAACCTCTGCATTTCACCTTAAGTATCAGAGGTGTGTAACTATGGTGTGTCTTTACTGGAAACATCCCATCCTTCTAGCACTATCTCACCTTGCATCCCATCGAAGAACACTGGTATTGCTCTTGTATAAGAGAGAAACCTTGTTTAACTGATGTTCAGGCATGATGTCCCTGGGCAATCGTTCTGCTTTTGAATGTATACAGTTTATTTAGGGCTGAGTGTGATTTGCTTTCAGAGAAACAGGCTTCCATAACCTGTCTGCTTCGTTTACTCTCCTGCAGGGCACGCCACTTTTGAACTGGGAGCTACGTGGATCCATGGTTCGCATGGAAACCCAGTCTATCATCTAGCAGAAGACAATGGTTTACTCGAAGAGACTACTGATGGTGAGAGAAGTGTTGGCCGGATCAGCCTTTACTCAAAGAATGGGGTGGCTTATCATCTTACCAACAACGGGCAAAGGATCCCGAAAGATGTGGTTGAAGAATTCAGTGATTTATACAACGAGGTTGGTATTCAGCTGCTCTGCCAGGTTTGCCTGAAACACTAGCAGCCCTTGGCATTCCAGGTACTGGACAAGGGTAGAAAACCAGTCATGTCTTGAATTTCTTTTCAAAAAATCAACACTTAGATTGCTCTCATCTACTTAATTATAACTGATTTGTCTCTGATGTCTGCTTAACTCACTGTTGTTAGGATGAACAATCTTTCCACATTTGTCATCGGTTTAATCACTTCCAGCAGCTATTGCTGGTGAGATCCAGTCATTTGCTCTAGAAAGTTGCTACTTAATTGAAAGGGTAAAGGAAGGATCAAATTACTAAACAAAGTAGAACGCAAAACCGTAGCAACAACCAGCTAAATATTGTAGCCTGCGACATTTTATTGACGTTATAAATACCTTAGTGTGCAGGGTAGTATGCCAAAGTCAGTGCAGTAACATAGGAATTGCGAGCTTTATTGCATCAGGAGGAAAAGAACATCTTTTCTGGTAGATTCAGACCAGCGCTGGCTTCAGTTTAAAGTTATTCTGACTTCTTTTGCTCAATGTTTACTGATGTCCTCTTCCGTTCAGTGTAGATGAAGGCCTCAGTATGTGACAGCAGAGCAAAACATGAAAAAAAATCAAACACACAAAAAATACAGAAGTAGAACCTGGAAATACTAAACAGAAGACTTCAAGATGGGAATGGAAATGCACGTTTAGTGGAAAGATTAAGCTCTGCTGAAGAAGCTGTAAGTCAGTGTTAGGCTCTTGGACAAAAAGGGCCAAGTTTACTTTGATGTAGGTAGGCAACGCTGCTAGTGATCCTAGTGTTTTCCTCAAGAGGAAAAATGAGGTTTCTTTTACTGATTTGTGTGAGGAACACGTGAGATAGACAGGTTGGTATTACTTCCATCTGCTTTCAGTAGCAATGTTTAGCTTCAGGCAGAGTAAAGAGAAAGAAGGAGGCTTGCTAAAGTTAAGTATAATTATTGCCAACATTCTTTGTATGTCATTTATGAAGTATGTTTAGGGAGGTCGATGCAGAATGTCTAGTTCTCCTTTTTACCCACGTAATATGACCTCTCAGTGGGTTATTTAAAACACAGCAAAACATTATTATTTTCATCAGTCTGTAGTCACGCCTTGAACCCTTCAGATTGTCATCTGACAGTGAGCTTCACTAGGATTTGACACATGGCTGAACACACACTAGATTGAGGTTACTCTTGGATATTTTATGTTTAAAAATATGTCCGAGAGCATTTAGGAAGTCACCAAGAGAAAAATCTGAAAAAAAGAGATTTTTAAGGCTCTGTTTGTAGCCTGAAAATAATTATGAAGAACTGAACGTGGAGCAGGAATGTGGATTTTTTGCTTGGAAAGACTTTTAATACTGTGTCCTGGAGCTCTGAACAGGAATCCATGATGAGATGGCGTAGAATTATTTCAGTTTTAGAGAGGAGGAGTAGGAATTTCAAAGAAACCCATTATGGTAGGAATTTAACAAGTTTTGGAATTCAGCATGGAATTATTTAGGAATTCAACGTGGAAGGTAATTCTTTCTGGATGAATGCAGGTAGAGATTATTCATCTGAACAGTGCTTTCACATTACTGAATCAAAACCAGAACCACAATAAGCTGGAAAAAATGACAGCTAAGACATGTGAAGCAAGATTAACAGAAAATAAGAATAGAAGAGAGAGGAAATAAGTGAAAGTACTGCAGCGAGCAGCATTACTCATGTAAATGGAACACCACCAACTTCATGCAGTGCTCAGTGATCATCCTGACTTAAAGATGATAAGAAAACCTCCAGCAAAGGGAGGGTGTCAGAGGCAGGCAGGCTCCTGATAGAAGAGAATACAAAGATGAGAGCTACTTAGCTTTGAGATGCAGCCGATAAGATAAAGGCTGTAACAAGGTGCCAGTGTTTTAAAAATGGTTAATTTGGTAAATCTACCCTTCCTTTTAAAGCAAGAGAACGGGGACAGCCAGTGACATGAGAGAACAACACATTAAAAGTTAATCTTCTTTACGCAACACGTAATTAGCTTATCATTGCCGCAGGATATCTTTATCGCTAGGAGACAGAAAAGGATTTCACATTTATGGATTGTAAAAATGTCTACAGCTACTCTGCAATAAAAAAAAAATAAATATGTAGGGGACAGCTTAAGCCAAGAAGAGGACATCAGCCAGCCTCTAATTGCTGTTGCTGGGGAGGTGCTTTCTCTGTAATCCATCAAAGTGTGCTGGAATTTCTTGTGGGGCAGCTTACAGTTTTGTTTAGCTTCTTGTCCCAGCCTCTTTGGGGTGTCAGATTGGCCAATCTTCAGTGATTTAAGACAGTAGACTGTTTGTTCTTCCCTCCTCTGTTTAGGAAAAGTGGGAATTAAGGTGGTCTACGCGATCTCCTGAAAAACACCAATTAAAAAGACTGTATGAAGTGCAAGTGCCGCAGTGGGCTGGAAGACAGAAACATGTGCAGCAGGCATGCAGCTTTGGGAACCTTTTCCTCTGGCATAAATTGCAAAGAATGTTTCTGTTTACATGTGCTGAGTCAGCCTGGCTGCATTTCTATTTTTTTTCATCCCCCCCATCTTTTTATTTTTTTGCTTTTTTTTTTTTTTAGAGTCCATTTCCATTCCATTCTTGTTATTATGGGTAGAAATCTGGTCTTCAGTTCTGTCTCTCTGCATTTTTGAGGTGGGATTTCTGGTGTTACGACATCACGAAGCTGTCCAGCATAAACAGCCATTTTACAGATCACCGGGCCCTGAGGTCAGGCTCCTGCTCCTGCTGCGTAGGAGCTCCCAGCCCCTTCTCAGAGCCTTGGGCAGCCTGCTGCTAGCAGTCCCAACGTCATCTTGTGTCATCTCTCAGCCTGCATCTCCTGTAGAAGAGGCTTAGATAGCACAGGCTGTGACACAAACAGCCCTGACTTGAGGAAAAAAAAAAAAAAAAGCAACAAACACATGATGTATGTGAAGCCTAATCAGGGACTGGCATTACCAGTGGAAAATGTAGTCCTGAATGAACAGGGGCTAAATTTGTCACGGGTTCAAGTGCCTGCCTTCCCCTGCACAGCCGGCTCGCTTCCCAGGCACTCCCTGCTCTCCTCTCGCTGCAGCTGCTGCCGTGTGCTTGGGCCCTAGTGCATGCCTCCAGCTTCTGCACCTGCATTTCCTTAGTCCCAGTTATCTTGTCATTTGGACACCCGATTCAGGGCATGCGAAATGCAGATCATCTCCCTTGAGTGTTTCACTTGCGTATGTGGAGTCGCTGAGGCTGGAGCCTGCCGAGGTGAGGTCTGGCCCTCTGTACGCTGAATTCCCCTGCTGTGAAAGGCCGAGCACCCCGTTACCACTCAGCTTTGCCTCACCAGTTCATTTGGAGAGTCCTTACCCTTTTCCAGGCACTTATCCAATCTTTTTTTTTTTTTTTTTTTTTTTTTTGGCTGGCTTCTGCTTCTCTCCAAGTTTTGCTTCTTTTTGTTTGCAGTAGCCTGGATTTCTAATAGCTGTGGGGATGCCTCACAGAAGCCTTTATTTGGTTATGAGGAAGCTGAGCAGGCTTCATTTCTGTAGCAGAGAGCTCCCTACGAGAGGCTGCCTTGAGTGAGAAGCCGGTGCACTGAATCGAGGGCAGTCAAGATCTATCATGAGCTTGTGACCGCGCTGACCTGAATCCTCCAACATGAGAGCAAAAACGAGCTGGGGGAAGGCCTCCAAGCCCACAAAGCAGCTCCCTGGATTTCCAACCACTGGGAGAAAAGGCATCAAGCCTGCTGTTGGCAGAACAGTTCTCCAGACACTGTTGTTTTGAGATTTTCCTTCAGAGACCTTGTGTTGTGCAGGGCTGGCACTGCTTAGGGTCATTTGGTCACACCTCAAAGGGGCAAAAGATGTGGAAGGTGGTTCCCCGGGGGGGCGATGTCCATGCCATGTGTTTATAACCTTTCTCTCCACTCCTGCTAGGGTAATTTGGGGATCCTGTGGCTGGGAGGGATTTAGGACTCTGCTAATTATCACGTCTGTGTGACCCACAAAGAAAAGGGACAGGAACGTGGCTGCTGAGGGCCGTGTCCGCAGCTGGGAAATGCAAATGGGGCCAGCCCATCTCAGAGTTGCCCTTCTGTCACTGCCAAGTCCTCATTTTCCTCTGCAAACAGGTATTTCTGGCCAACTCCCAGATACTTCTGAGGGGTGGTGAGTTTGGCTAGTTAAATACAGGTGAAAAATTACTGCTCCCAAGGGTTTCACAGTGTACCAACCAACCTGGTTTAGGAACTGTGCCTCTTTTTAAGGCTTTTCAGTAAGGCCATGGTCTCTAAAGGCCCGCTTTAAAGGAACCCTCCCTTTACCAATTGGCTAATTAATGTCCTCGTTATCTGTCAGCTTCCTCCTGTGTGCTGCAGGGTTTCTGGGGGAGGGCTGCAGCCGAGGAACCACGAAGATTTCCCCCCTTCTGCTCTCCCCACCCCATGCTGGGCTTCGTGCCATCCCCGATTAAAGCCTGGCCTTGCCGTACGGGGGAAGCAGGCCCAAAGGAGGTCACCGGTCCCTCCCTGCCCTTCTATTGCACCGACAGATGTCTGGCTTGGTAACAGCACGGACCTATCTCCATCAAGGTTTTTTTTTTTTTACTGACCGGGGATTAAGTCACTCGAGTTTTTAAGCCAAACGAGAAAAAGACAATGCTGCGGCTCGTCACCGGTGCTGCCAGGAAGGAGCGCGGCCTGGGATGTGCTTTCCTGACCTCCTTCGGTTCGGAGAAGCTTCTTTATTTAGATTTGTGCTTCCTAAGGGACTGCCTCTTCCTGTGGTAGAGGAGCACGTAGGTAGTAAATACGTGGAGGTGGAAGCCTGTAGGTAATGGGGAGGACATCTTGGGGGAGCGCACCTTCCCTTCACGGACCCGTGTTGTGGATGCCCCAGACCTGGTCAGAAGGAAGACAGAAAAGCCAAAGTGGATCCCTTTTAGGATTATAACCTTTTAATTGGCTTTAAATCATGATTACCTAGCTTCTGACTGATGGGATGATAGCAAAGGCTTGGTGTTCACAGCACAGGGATCGGGGTCGCTCTGCTCTTTTCTCTGTAGGGCAATGGAGAATCCAGTGGTTAATAAAAACATACCCATGGCTCGCTTATCCTTCTGGCCAAGTGGAAGCTGGGCTTTAACACAGCTTTGCTTGTCTTGTGAATGCCTTATCTGCTTAGAGTGTGCAATCGGCTTAGGGAAGCTGAGCTGTGTTGTGCTGATGCAAGGTCTGTGCAGCTTGTGCTTGCTGGAAGTGGTCTGGGCCTTGGAAATCAGAAGACTTGAGAGCCATGGGATGCTGAAACTGCCAAATTGCTTTTGGCATTGTGAAGCAAAGAAGACATCATTTCCTTTCCTTTGCTGGAAGCCTTAATTTCATAAAGGGAACTGGTCTCCACCTTTCTTACCTGGAAACCTCCTTGGAAAGGCTCCATGTCCAAGTCTGCAAGTCTCATATGTCTTCAGCAGTTCCACTCATTCTTCTTGTGATTTCTTCTCCTCTGCTCTTTCAGTTTATTTTTCCCTTTTCTCCCTTTTTCACTTATTTTCTTCTTCCATTTTCTTCCTGTCCCTCGCTTACCCTCATCTACTCTCTTTCCTCCATTCACTCACAGACCTGCTCTCTCCTGCTCCCACTGCTCCTGTGCGTTTTCTTTCAGTACCTTCCCTTCCTCATCATCCTTCCAGTCTACCTCCTCAAATTCACTTTACTTATAAAACCCCAGAGAAAATCAAGCTTATGGGGAGCAATGTGATGGGAGTAAATGAGAACATGGTTCATAAGCCATGTCAAAAGAAAATGAGACGCTCTAGGAGTCTTTGAAGGAGAGCTAGCTTCCTACCAGGCATTTATATTCAAGCTGAAGTCCTCAGTGTGCCCAAATTATCTGTCTCCAACAAAAAAAATCATAAATTTTAGTCAAACCATCTTTGACAGGAAAAACTCATTCAGCAGGGATCTTGCCTCTCTACTTGTAAGAGAACTGTGCACACCTGTGGCATGATACTGAGGAGAAGGTGACTCATTTTGGGCAAACAATTTATTAATGGGATGAGTTGCACTTCTGGGAGCCACCTTTTAAAAGCTTTGCTCTGTTAAAAGATTCCTTAGAGTTTTTACTTGGAAATGAAGGGCCATGATTCAACTGCAGGCTCTGCTGGGAATCCTGCAGGCTCAAGCACTGATTACTCCAGACAGCCACAAGCAGATGGCCAAGGTGGATAGCTGCTCGCTTGCTTTTAAATAGCTGATGTGGTAGAAAACGGGGGCTTAAAAAAGTCAGGATCTCCTTCAAAGAACATTGTCAGGAAGGGATCTTTTTGCAGGTCCTGCTCAGGCTGACTCTGGGTGGGGGCTACCAAGGAAGTTTTTGTTTCCCAGGGATCTGTGCCTACCTTGTGCTCATCAAGTAAAATGATTTAGCATACAAAATTAATTTTTTGAGTGTGTGTTACTTATTTACTATTTTTGGGGGGACAGCAGGAAGCTAAATATGAAACTGATTTCCCCCAACCTGGTAGATTCTTGAGCATCATCGTGAAGCAGTTAGGTTATAACAGTTAGAAATAACACCTAGCAAATCCAAGCTGTCTTTGTAGAGGTGCTCAGCAGCCTGCCCTTGCCTGGCTTGCTGCTCCAGCTGCAACATCTAAACAGCTGGCTGAATAACAGGCTTTCACTATGGAAAATAGCAGGACTGCCTCAGCTGGTCTTCTGCAAGTGATAGAACGGACACCCTTAAATTAATATGAACTTAATAGCAGCTTACATAATGACTTAATGGTGAATAGACTGTTGCAGAGGTGAGTGAGGGTGATTATCTTTGCCTGGAGGGAAGTTTTGTTTTCTTCCTTCTGACCAGCATAGCTGTGGATGCAGCGGGACACGGTGTTGGAGCAGAGGGCACAAGAAGCTGCCACAGCTGATCTCTGAGGCTGGCAAGGGAAGGTGACCTGAACTTGCTGGTTTGGGATGGAGGAAAAAAGATCCTGCTCGAGGTTTGGCTTCTGCTGTGATTCACATTGTCCACCTCCTGTCCTGTCTCTTGCAGGTCTATAACCTGACTCAGGAGTTCTTCCAACGAGGTAAACCAGTCAATGCTGAGAGCCAGAATAGCGTGGGCGTCTTTACACGGGACGTGGTCCGCAAGCGTGTCAAGGCCGATCCGGATGACACAGAGGCCGTCAAGAGGCTGAAACTAGCCATGATCCAGCAGTACCTTAAGGTGTGTGTGCACGTCGTGGTTTATTTGTTTTTACTGAGGGCAGACAAATCTTCAACCTCAGACACCTCTCAGGAATTGCTTTCTGGGGGCTCTTGCTGCTGGGGCAGTTCCTGTTTGTGTCGACAACTTCTCCTCTTGAGGCATGTGCTAAGACTGGGGGCTGGAGGAATAATGCATTCACTGTTTTTTTCTTATCTTAAACTTCCAGTTTTCTAATTAGAAGGGGATTTCCTAGGCCCTGTTAAATTCTCTAGTGTGATTTAAGGTTTTCTTATCAACTGAAGCTACTCTACTGTCAGCTTGTTCTAGCAATGCACAGTCTTGTGCCTTACACCTGGGACTTGATCCTGCCTGAGTATCTTTTACCCTCTTCTGCCTCTGCCCATATCTCAGACACCAGAAAAAAAAACATAGCTTCAACACTAGTAATTTGTTGAAGAAATCCCTGGAAAGCATTTTGAAGGTAAAGCAATAAAGCCAAAGGTAGCTTGTATAAACCCATGTCCTAATCATCTTTCCTCATGGCTTCCCTAGTTCTTTTTATCTCCTTGATGCCTTGGCCTAAATGAGATCTCTGTGGGATGAGGACTTAATGCTGCATCAAGCACTCCACAAGTAAAGTGTAACAGTCCTTCCTATTTCAATTATAATGACTTAAAGGCTTATGAAATGAGGCAGGGGAGCCAGGGCGGCACTCTGTGACATGGTGTGTGGTAGGTGGGAAGCTGAAACACAGATAAAGACCTAAAGAGTCTCTTGCAGGAGGTCTGTGATAAAACTGGGATTGAGCCCAGGCATCCTGAAACTGTTCTGATCTCCCAGAATCCTAACCCAAGAGCTTGTCTACCAGAGCATCTCCAGAGCTGCTATACAGGGGCTGATTATTTCTTGTGTTATCCCCATGCAGATGATGTTGGCCATTTGATATGCCTCTGTTTTTTTTTTCTGGTGGTTATTTCTGTGGTAGGCTACAGGTTGCTACAGCCAGAGACTTTCTGCAACTCCTTACAAATCCCTTCTCATGTGTAAATACCTGAGAGTAACAAAGCTGCTGATACTTAAGGCTATCAGATCAGAGTAGCAGCTGAGAGAGAGGGGATTAACTGGTACCTTTTGTTGAATTACAGGCTTGGTAGTTGCGTGTTTTTCTCCCTCTTAACTGGTTTGAAGTTTTCCTTCATGGTTGAAATAACCCTCTAGCTGTCAGGAGCAGCCTTTGAACTACTTTGTACAACTTTGACCTGTTCCTAAAAAGCAGCCTGACTTCTTTGCATGATGTCTTAGCTCTGCATGGAGATTTTTTTCACACACTGAACGTCTGGGCTTGCCAGGCTTCCAAACACTGCCATGAAAGCATGCAAAGGCCTGGAAAATTGGCCAAAGAGTAAGGCATGGGATTGTAATGTTCCCTTTGCCTAAAATGTTTAAAGAATTGCAGTGTGAGAATCATTGTGACCTGAAGATTTTAACATCATTATGTCTCATGTATCAGTATTGTCATTAAAAAACTTGCCATGAGACAGACCAAACTTTCTGCCTTTGTTCCAGGGGTTGGTGCCAGCTGCTTCTATGCCTAATGCTCTCGTTAACATTAACCTACAGGGCCTGGATCTAAAGTTTGGATAATCACACCAAGTGAACCAAATGCAGGTGTCTCATGTCTTGGCATTTCTCTTTCCTGTCTCCTTCGGTTCCTTCTGTGTTGGGTGCTGCCACCTCCTGCAGATCGTTAGCTTGCTGATTGCTGTCTGACAGCATGTTGAAAGCTGCAGGCAGCATAAAAATTGCTGCCAAAAGTTTTTCACGGCTCCTCACGGGAACATTTATTGACGTTGGGAAGAGCATCCGATTATCACAGCTCCAGCTGCTGTTGTAGGAGCACCAAGCAGCAAGTCCCTGGCCAGGGCTCTGGGTTTTTAGATGCTAGGAATCAGTCAGAATCTAACCCCCTGCCCTCAGGAGCAGACACATCATCTCCAAAAAGTGGCTGATGGAACCATGACCAGTACAGCCAAGGCTGATGCAGCGTGTGACCATAACAAAGTGGTTTCTCTGATTAGAAGCAAGGCTGAGGGATAGATTTCATCAGGTCTTGCGAAACACTTCTTTGCTAACAACAATAATGTGGTTTAAGAGGGGGATTCAGGATTCCCAGCTTGTGTGTCTGCTCTTTTTGCCCTTGCAGTGTTGAGCTGTGGCAGAATGACCCCATGGGTTGCTGTGTGGCAATGTCGCTTCTGTCTTGCTTTTCCTTAGGTAGAGAGCTGCGAGAGCAGCTCCCACAGCATGGACGAAGTCTCGCTCAGCGAATTTGGGGAATGGACCGAAATCCCCGGGGCTCACCACATCATTCCTTGCGGTTTCATAAAAATTGTGGAGATTTTGGCCCGCTCCATTCCCGAGTCCGTCATTCAGCTCCGCAAGCCGGTCAAGTGCATCCACTGGAACCAGTCGGTCAGCAAGGAGATCGAGAGGGTGGCCGACCACAACAGTGACCTCCCCGAGGAGGACAAGGGCTCCGATGTCTTCGTAGAGTGCGAGGACTGTGAGTTCATCCCAGCCGACCACGTCATTGTGACCGTGTCCCTGGGAGTCTTGAAGAAACGCCACGAGAGCCTCTTTCACCCCCGCTTGCCCGAGGAGAAAGTGATGGCCATCGAGAAGCTAGGAATCAACACGACCGACAAGATTTTCCTGGAGTTTGAAGAGCCTTTCTGGAGTTCTGAATGCAACAGCATCCAGTTTGTCTGGGAAGACGAGGCGGAGAGCGAGAGCTTGACTTATCCTGAGGACATGTGGTACAAGAAGATCTGCAGCTTCGATGTACTCTACCCGCCGAGCGGTACGGCCACGTGCTGAGCGGCTGGATCTGTGGAGAAGAGGCTTTGATCATGGAGAAGTGTGACGATGAAACTGTGGCGGAAACCTGCACCGAAATGCTACGGAAATTTACAGGTCAGCCATGCTCTGGTTCGCTTGGGGAGTGGAGGAAGAGAGGGAGCGTGGGGCTTGGGTGTTGAATAACCATTAGGAAGGAAGTACGCTGGAGGAATTTTTAGTTCTTTGGCATATTATGTCCCTGTGAATGGGCCGGGCAAGTGCTTCCAGCATCCCTCCTGCTTGGGTGTGCCTGGAGGCTATTTATGCAGAGGAGCTGATAACCAGCTCAGGAAGTGGTGGGCTGAAGTGCTTGAGGATCCCACATCCTCTGCTTTATTTAATCACAAATTATACGCAATTGTAAGAGGAGTGTCCTCCAGATTAGATGCATTTTATGCTATTCTAGGGACGGGTCCCGTGATGAACCTATTTATATCTGCCTGTTACTCGTGTAAGCCAAATCTCAACGCCCAGTGAGTTTCCAGCCTTGCCTCTTGTCCAGTGACCTCCGTTTAATCAAAGAAATTTTCCTTCACAAGTGTAGCTCTCCCCTGTGCTTACAGACCATTTGCTGCTGACCATGCAGGGATCTAGAGCAAGGGACCGGGAAGCTGAGGACTACTCACCTAATTGACTACTGCCAGGAGAGGTTTTGCCTTTTATTACTCTTTTTAGAAATCATAGGCTAGCCTGCATGTTCCAAACCCCTCTTGCAGGGACCAAAAGGGAATCCTTGCCTCGGTCTGCTCAGTGGTGCATTTGTGGTGGATGCTGAACCTTGTGGCTCCCCCGCAGCCTGCGGCGAAGCACGATGAATCGGTGTGTGCTGGGCTCTGGGCAGCTCCTGCTTCCTGAGCTCTGTGTTTTCAGCAGTGTGAGTTATCCCTACGTTACGTTGCGGTAGCACAACATACACAAATTCGTTCCT